ACAAATGTAGGGAAAAGAAAGATCAGACTGTTACTGTGTCTATGTAGAAAGGGAAGATATAAGAAACTCCATTTTGACCTGTACCCTGAACAATTGCTTTGCCCTGAGATGCTGTTAATCAGTAACTTTGCCCCAGCCACATTGCCTCAGCCACTTTGCCCCAACCTTGAGCTCACAAAAACATGCGTTGTATGGAATCAAGGTTTAAGAGATCTAGGGCTGTGCAGGATGTGCCTTGTTAACAAAATGTTTACAAGCAGTATGCTTGGTAAGTCATTGCCATTCTCTAGTTTCAATAAACCAGGGGCACAATGCACTGTGGAAAGCCACAGGGACCTCTGCCCTGGAAAGCAGGGTATTGTCCAAGGTTTCTCCCCATGTGATAGTCTGAAATATGACCTCGTGGGATGAGAAAGACCTGACTGTCCCCCAGTCTGACACGCATGAAGGGTCTGTGCTTAAGTAAATTAGTAAGAGAGGAAATCCTCTTGCAGTTGAGATAGAGGAAGGCCACTGTCTCCTGCCTGCCCCTGGGAACTGAATGTCTCGGTATAAACCCTGATTGTACATTTGTTCAATTCTGAGATAGGAAAAAAACTGCCCTATGGCAGGAGGCAAGACATGTTGGCAGCAATGCTGCTTTGTTATTCTTTACTCCACTGAGATATTTGGGTGGAGAAAAACATAAATCTGACCTATGTGCACATCCAGGCATAGTACCTCCCCTTGAACTTAATTATGACACATATTCTTTTGCTCACATGTTTTCTTGCTGACTTTTCCCTATTATCAACCTGCTCTCTTACTACATTCCTCTTGCTGAGATAGTGAAAATAACAATCAATAAAAACTGAGGGAACTCAGAGACTGGTGCTGGTGCAGATCCTTGGTATGCTGAGTGCCGGTTTCCTGGGCCCACTGTTGTTTCTCTATACTTTGTCTCTGTGTCTTATTTCTTTTCTGAATCTCTTGTCCCACCTGATGAGATATACCCACAGGTGTGGAGGGGCAGGCCACCCTTTCATACAAACAGCCAACAAACATGAACAAATGCTCAACTTTACTCATCATCAGGGAAATGCAAATTAAAACCACATGATACCACCTTACTCCTGCATGAATGGACATAATTAAAAAGTCAAAAAACAATAGATATTGGTATGGATGTGGTGAAAAGGGAGCACATTTACACTGCTGGTGGGAATATAAATTAGTGCAATCACTATGAAAAACATTATGGAGATTCCTTAAAGAACTTAACATAGATCTATCATTTAATCCAGCAATCCCGCTACTAGGTATCTACCCAAAGGAAAAGAAATTATTATATGAAAAAGACACATGCACATGCATATTTATAGCAGTACAGTTCACAATTGTAAGGATATGGAACTAACCTGCCTATTGACCAATGGGTGGGTAAAGAAAGTGTGGTATATATACATCAGGAAATACTACTCAGCCATTAAAAGGAACAAAATAATGTCTTGCAGTAACTTGGATAGAGTTAGAGGTCGTTATTTTAAGTTATGTAACTCAGGAATGGAAAACCAAATACCGTATGTTTTCACTTGTAAGTGGGAGCTAAGCTATGAGGATGCAAAAACCTACAGAGTGATATAATGAACTTTGAGGACTTGGGGTGGGGGAGGTTGGGAGGAGGATGAGGGATAAAAGACAACATATTAGGTACAGTGTACACTGCTCAGGTGATGGGTGCATTACAAATTCCAGAATTCACCACCAATAACTCATCCATGTAACCAAAAGCCACCTATATCCCCAAAACTATTGAAATAAAAAATTGATGTTTTGAATATATGAATATGGATTTTTTTATTTATTGTGTCCTTTTTAATTTCTTACATCAATGTTTTATAGTTTTTTAAATTATTATACTTTAAGTTCTAGGGTACGTGTGCACAATGTACAGGTTTGTTACATAGGTATACATGTGCCATGTTGGTTTGCTGCATCCATCAACTCATCATTTACATTAGGTCTTTCTCCTAATGCTATCCCTCCCCCAGTCCCCCATCCTCTGACAGGCCCCACTGTGTGATGCTCCCCGCCCTGTGTCCAAGTATTCTCATTGTTCAGTTCCCACCTATGAATGAGAACATGGGGTGTTTGGTTTTTTGTCCTTATGATAGTTTGCTGAGAATGATGGTTTCCAGCTTCATCCATGTCCCTGCAAAGGACATGAACTCATCCTTTCTTATGGCTGCATAGTATTCCATGGTGTATATGTGCTACATTTTCTTTATCCAGTCTATCATTGATGGACATTTGGGCTGGTTCTGTGTCTTTTAATTGGGACATTTAGCCCATTTACATTTAAGGTTGATATTGTTATGTGTTCATTTGATCCTGACATTATGATGTTAGCTGGTTATTTTGCCCATTAGTCGATGTAGTTTCTTCCTACCATTGATGGTCTTTACAATTTGGCGTGATTTTGCAGTGACTGGTACCCATTGTTCCTTTCCATGTTTAGTGCTTCCTTCAGGAGCTTTTGTAAGGCAGGCCTTGTGGTGACAAAATCTCTCAGCATTTGATTGTCTGTAAAACATTTTATTTCTCCTTCACTTATGAAGCTTAGTTTGGCTGGATGTGAAATTCTGGGTTGAAAATTTTCTTTCAGAATGTTGGATATTGGCCCCTACTCTCTTCTGGCTTGTAGGGTTTCTGCAGAGAGATCCACTCTTTGTCTGATGGGTTTCTGCTTGTGGGTAACCCGACCTTTCTCTCTGGCTGCCCTTAATATTTTTTCCTTCATTTCAACCTTGGTGAATCTGACAATTATGTGTCTTGGGGTTGCTCTTCTCGAGGAGTATTTATGTGGTGTTCTCTGTATTTTCTGAATTTGAATGTTGGCCTGCCTTGCTAGGTTGGGGAAGTTCTCCTGGATAATATCCTGAAGAGTGTTTTCCAACTTGGTTCCATTCTCCCCGTCACTTTCAGGTATGCAAATCAAATGTAGATTTGGTCTTTTCACATAGTCCCATATTTCTGGGAGGCTTTGTTCATTTCTTTTTACTCTTTTTTGTCTCTAAACTTCTCTTCTTGCTTCATTTCATTAATTTGATCTTCAATCACTGATATCCTTTCTTTCAGTTAATCGAATTGGCTACAGAAGTTTGTGCATGCATCACATAGTTCTCGTGCCATGGTTTTCAGCTCCATCGGGTCATTTAAGGTCTTCTCTACACTACTTATTCTAGTTAACCATTCTTCTAATCTTTTTTCAAGGTTTTTAGCTTCCTTGTGATGTGTTCGACCATCTTCCTTCACCTTGGAGAAGTTTGTTATTACCGACCTTCTGAAGCCTACTTCTGTTAACTCGTCAAAGTAATTTTCCATCCAGCTTTGTTCCATTGCTGGCGAGGAGCTACAATCCTTTGGAGGGGAAGAGGTGCTCTGGTCTTTGGAATTTTCAGCTTTTCTGCTCTGGTTTCTCCCCATCTTTGTGGTTTTATCTACCTTTGGTCTTTGATGTTGGTGACCTACAGATGGGGTTTTGGTGTGGATATCCTTTTTGTTGATGTTGGTACTATTCCTTTCTGTTTGTTAGTTTTCCTTGTAACAGTCAGGTCCCTCAGCTGCAGGTCTGTTGGAGTTTGCTGAAGGTCCACTTCAGACCCTCTTTGCCTGGGTATCACCAGTGGAGGCTGCAGAACAGCAAATATTGCAGAACAGAAAATATTGCTGCCTGATCCTTCCTATGGAAGCTTCATCCCAGAGGGGTGCCCGCCTTTAAGAGGTATCAGTAGGCCCCTACTGGGAGGTGTCTCCCAGTTAGGCTACATGGGGGCCAGGGACCCACTTGAGGAGGCAGTCTGTCTGTTCTCAGAGCTCAAACACCATGCTGGGAGTACCACTGCTCTCTTCAGAGCAGTCAGACAGAGACGTTTAAGTCTGCAGAAGTTTCTGCTGCCTTTTGTTCAGCTATGCCCTGCTCCTAGAGGCGGAGTCAACAGAAGCAGTAGGCCTTGCTGAGCCACGGTGGGCTCCACCCAGTGCGAGCTTCCCTGGCTGCTTTGTTTACCTACTCAAGCCTCAGCAATGGTGGACGCCCCTCTCCCTGCCAGGCTGCTGCGTCTCAGGTTGATCTCAGACTGCTGTGCTAGTAGTGAGCAAGGCTCCGTGGGCATGGGACCCTCTGAACCAGGCGCCAGATACAATCTCCTGGTGTGCCATTTGCTAAGATCATTGGAAAAGCGCAGTATTTAGGTGGGAATGTCCTGTTTTTCCATGTACAGTCTCACACTTCCCTTGGCTAGGAAAGGGAAAGACCCCAACCCCTTGCCCTTCACGGCTTCCCTTGGCTAGGAATGGGAAATACCCTGACCCCTTGCCCTTCCCGGGTGAGGTGATGCCCTGCCCTGCTTCGGCTCACCCTCTGTGGGCTGCACCCACTGTCCAACCAGTCCCAGTGAGATGAACCAGGTACCTCAGTTGGAAATGCAAAAATTACCCATCTTCTGCATTGATCATGCTGGGAGCTAAAGACTGGAGCTGTTACTATTTGGCCATCTTGGTATTCCATGTATAGTTTTTTTTTTTTTTTTTTTTTTTTGGTAAAGTTTAAAAGTTAAAAGAAATTTATTTATTTGTTTGTAGAAATGGGGTCTCATTATGCTTCCCAGTCTTCTGTTGAACTCCTGGGCTCAAGCAATCCTCCTGCCTTGACCTCTCAAAATGCTGAGATTACAGGAATGACTCATTGTACCCAGCCTATAGCTTTTATTGTAGTGATCTTTCATTTCTTTGATTAAATTTATTCTTATGCATTTTATTTCTATTTGTAGCTATTGTAAAGGGGATTATTTTCTAGAACAGAGTCTTGCTCTGTCACACAGGCTGGAGTGCAGTGGCACAATCTTGGCTCATGGCTGACATTTTCTTTTCAATTTCTTCATTGACCCACTGGTCATTCAGGAGCATATTGTTTATTTCCATGTGTTTATATAGTTTCCAAAGCTCCTCTTTTTGTTTATTTTAGTTTAATTCCATTGTGGTCAGAGAATATACTTGTTATGTTGTTTTCACATGATAGTGAGCTAGTTTTCATGAGATCTGGTTGTTTGAAAGTGTGTGGCACTTCCCCCTTCATTATCTCTCTTTTCAGCTCCACAATGGTGGGATGTGCTTGCTGGCTTCTCCTTCACCTTCTGCCATGATTGTCAGTTTCCTGAGGTCTCCCAACCATGCTTCTGTACAGCGTGTAGAACTGTGAGTCAATTAAACCTATTTTCTTCATCAATTACCCAGTTTCAGGTAATTCATTATAGCAGTGTGAGAATGAACTAATACGATATGTTTTCAATTATTTTTGAAACTTTGAAGACTTGATTTGTGACCTAACTTGTGGCCTATCCTTGAGAATTATCCATGTACTGAGGAGAAGAATGTGTATTCTGCAATCATAGCATGAAATGTTCTGTAAATATCTATTAGATATAATTGATCTATAATGCACATTAAGTCCTATGTTTCTTTGTTGATTTTCTATCTAGATAACCTGCCCAGTGCTGAAAGTGGGATGTTGAACTCTTCAGCTATTACTGTATTGGGGCCCATCTCTCTCTTTAGCTTTAATAATATTTTCTTTATATATCTGGGTGCTCTAGTGTTAGGTGCATATATATTTACAATTGTTATGTTCTCTTGCTGAATTGACTCCGATATCGTTATACAAGGACGTTTTTTGTGTCCATTTTTGTAGTTTTTGTCTCAAAATCGATTTTTGTCTCCTGAACCTTTCTCATCTTTTTTGGGGGGAGCCACATTCCCCAGCTTTTGACTTTTTTTGTACTAATGTAGCATAAGATAAATCCACTTGCAAATTTATTTATAGTATGTTTTCTCCACTTGCAATGTGAATGACACCCTCTCAATTTACAACAATTTGGTAAAGGATTTCTTCCTTTCCTTTGTTTTTTCTCTGTTTCTATATGCTTAACTAAGGCTTAATCACCCTCTTGTTTTTGCTTTAGGAAAGAAAAGAGGAGAATGAAATACCATCTGTTCTGCCTTCTAAGAAGTTGAGAATTCTTGTAGTGATGCACTTTGAAAATATCTTCCTAGATTTATTTATGAGTATATCCTTTAAGACCAGGATTAAAGTCTTTTTTCCTTCCCTTCCAATCAATAATGCCTGGCAGTCTGTCATGGAGCAATATTACATAGGTCTGACTGATTTATTCTTCCTAAAATCCCACTGACTACTCACTGGCACCCGTGATTGTTTAGCATTTTATAAATGAAATGATTAATGAGTTTGGTCTTTTCAGATATCAATGTTAAGGTGACCAGACTATAATTTTTGGGGGCTATTACATTATTTTCATTTTTAGAGGAAGGCCTTATGCATATCCTTTTTCAGCTTTAGGCTTCATCATTGTCCAACATGCACCTGGAAAGATTATTGCTGTAATAAGTTCAGGATATATTTTAACCCTTGAACTATGCTATGAGGGCATGCTGATCTGGAAATATCCACTATATTTAATACCAGACTCATTTATCTTCTATTTTGGATGATCTTTGTATTCTGTTGCACAAGTGGTAGAAACTTTATTCTACCACTGTTGAACCTGTTACAGGCATCATGCTCAAACTAAGCTTTTGAAAAAAACAAAAATAATTACTCCCCTCAGAGCTCTATGGTTCCCACTCATAATTTCCCAATCATAAAATTTGATAACAGAAATAATCAGAGACATTTTATAAAACCTGGGAAAGATGCCCATAGTGGAGATATGTTATTATTTTTCTATGTATCTCTAATATCCTATTGCCACAGATTATTTAGAAATTGATTCAGAAGGCTTTGTAGCTTCACTTTTTATATCAAAAGATTCCACATTATGTTACCTTGTTTTCCCAGCAAGTCTAACTTAAAGGTTTGTGTTTCTTTCTACTTATGAAAAGCTAAACTTATTTAATTGGTTTATTGGATGAACTGTACTTTGTAGAGTAAAGCAGAATGCACCTTTAATTTATTCTTTTTCACTTGTTCTTCGGATCAGTTATTTCTAGCCCCTGGAATAAAATCTCAGTCAGGTCCGAAGACTCCTCTCTCATTAAATAATGAATATACAGCACAAATGCTGATCAAAAGTCCTAAATCTCATTTAGTTTAAGATTTCTCTTCTTCCCTAGTTTAGGTTGGCCTCAGGCTCCGTAGACTGAGAAGGTGTGGTGGAGAGAGGTTCTTACGATCTGATTTTTTTTTTTTTTTTTTTTTTGGCTTCACTGCATTCTCCACTTAACAGTTGCTGTTTTGGGCTCCTTTAATACTAGGGAATATTAGAGTAGGGAATGGAGAATAAGGGGCAGAAATGTGCTTTTGGACTGGTAAAGTTATAATATGGTGTTGATGCCATCTGGGCATGGTGGAATTCAAGGCTTACTTTTATTTTCCCCTCCAGTTTGATGATTCCCTCCCTGGAGATCTTCACCTGCAGTTCCTGGCATGAGTGATGCCACTTCCACACAGTCAATTTAATCCCTTCATATCTCTTCTGCATCTGTGACACAACTTTATCTTCTTGTTGCTGAGGCTGCCTCACCCTTGGTAGAAGCTTTTGGTGGCACTTATGACCAGCTAATCAACTTGACTATCAGGCAGCACCATTCCACAGAATTGTATGTGATCTATGGAAAATCGACCCGTCTGCCCTGCTTTCAATGAACTTGTAACTTACTACTGACAAGAGGCTTCTTGTTCTTCTATAGGCAGCTGTAGGTATACTTACCTTTGCTTTTTTGTTCAACCATGGGTCAAGTAACTTGCTCTCATGTCTCTGAAATTCCAGAGAATGCATATTAGCTTTCCAAATCATTCTTTTGAGGCCCCCTTCAATTGGCTTGAGATGAAGGGGGAGTTTCCTTTCCCTCCCATGTAAGAGAGAGATAATTTACAATGCTCTAACAATAGTCTTGAAAAAAAAATCCTCATTAGCAGCCTCTTCACCCTCTGGATACTTAGCTGTCTCTTAGTCTGGAGGCGAATAATAGTCTTCAAATATCCACTGGAATGCAAGCAGCAATAAAGCAGACATTTTTTATGTGTTTTGATTATTTCTGTATCATTTGGTTTTAGAGAATAGCCTGACACATAGTAGCCTCTCAATAGATAGATGTTCAACATATGAATTAATGAATGAAAAAGCAATCAGGCACTTTGATTTAGAATGTGTGTATACATACACATCATATATATATTTATATATAAAACAACAGATGTCATACATATACATATATACACACATATGTATATATGTATGCATAATGATATACACATATATATGTGTATATATATATGGCACTTGTATTGTTTTTAGATTTTGAGGTGTCTGTTTAGATTTTGGGGTGTCTGTTGAAACAAAAACATAGAAACCCCAAAACAAAAAAATCCAGGAAATATCAAATTTAATATTCTATCACACTTACTTAATTTTAAAATTATCTTTACAAAGATAATAAATTCAAAGTTTGTAAATTATCTTGCAATGGTGATATCTAAAAACACATGTGTTTTTCAGGGACCAAAGGCTATAAATTCAAAGCCAGAAATTTAACTAATCTTAGGCAGTCCAGAATAAATAAGAAATTGAGTTTATTTTAGTAATTTGAATCATCCATTTTAAGATTATAAATCCCAGTTAAAAGCTTGAGAATCTATAAAGAATGTGCAAAAGTAGAATTTACTAGACTCTGGCTCACAGAAGAAGGTACACTTTAGGGTCAGCATCTGGAAATATCCCTTTCTCAATTTCTCTGTTACATGTGTATCCCTTTAAAACAGGCGTTTTAAAACTTGTTCTATGGATCATGTTGGAAATAAAGACTATGAATCAAGTTGAATCAAATTGGACTTTGGGGAGTCCAAATGTCAGCAAAGATAATTCACCAGTAATGTCATTGTAAAATCTCCCTTAAATTAACCAGAAATGTGGCATTGTTTGAAGTTATAGGTGAGGAATTTCACAAGGATTTTCTTCTTGATGTTCATCAGGGATATTGGCCGGAATTTTTCTTTTTTTGTGTGTGTCTCTGTCAGGTTTTGGTATCAGGATGATGCTGGCTTCTTCGTGACCTGCTAAGAAGTATCAAGCCCAGAAATCTTCACAGAAGGTATCATTCAAACCTCCAAAGAACAAATAATCTCAATGCTATTTCAACTGTTTCAATGTATAAAGAAGGAAAGTTTCCAAATATTCTCTATGATGCCAGAAAGCAATTATTCCAAAATGTGATAAATATAGTACAGAAAAAGAAAATTATTAATAAATATAATTTGTGAATATCAATGCAAAACCCTAAAGAAATTAGGTAATAGCATCTATTAGTAATTTCAAATAATAATATATACTAAGTAAAGGTCCTGTCAGGAATGAACTAATGGTTCAATATTAAGAAACATATTGATTTAATTTATATATTTAATAGGCTAAATGATTAAAAAGGTAGCATTTTCATAGATGGTGAAAAGGCATTCAATAAAACTCAATATTCATTCCCAAGGAAAGATAAACAAACAACAGCAAGAACAAATTTCTTTAATTCCCTTTTCAGCAAGGTAAGTTAATAACTCACCCAAGGTCATACAACCAGTAAAGATAGGTCCTGAATTTGAACCTAGATAGATTTTGTGCAGAGATAATTTAATCCTGTATACCTACAAACAAACACCAGTGCTTCTCAACCTTCTTCATGTTGTGGTACACATAGAAAATGAAAATATTTTTACGGCATGCTGGGAAATCAATCAAGGTCACATGTAGAGGAAATCGCTTAAGGCCCGGGTTACCTGAGGACCAGCTTAGCTGCCCCAGGGGCTGAGGGGATCAATATTTTGGCACATTTTAACTTGCGGAGGTTTGCCTACTGTATACTGCCACTAGAAGAAAACACAGCCTACATCTAGAATCAAAATAATATGGGAATCTGATATGTAACAAAGATGATATTTTAAATCAGTATGTAAAAATAGGTTACAGCTGACTTTCCATTTGTGGAAAAATATAGCTGAATGCCTACCAACTTCTAAACTGTCAGAAATAAATGAAAAAGAAAACAATAAAATATTCAAGGAAAATGTGACAATTTAAACAATAATTTTGGTGTAATGAAGAATTTTTTAACTGACATACAAAAGAAAGCAGAACAAAAAATACTGAAATGTAGCTATATATCAAAGAAAATCAAGCTTTCTGTACAGCAAAAAATATTCTAAACCAAGGTGAAAGACAACTGGCAAATTACAAAAAAACATTTCAGGCAAAACACAAATTTTCTTAGCATTGAAGAATTCTTAAGAGTCAATAAGAAAAGGACAAGCTACAAAAATAAAAAAAAATTGGCAAAATATATAAATAGGTTATTTCATAGAAAAGTAAATGTAAATGTAATATAAACACATGAAATTATTCTCAACCTTATTTACAAAGATGTGTATATTGAAACAAAAAACACACAAAGGAGGTATCACTTGTCACATGTCAGGTTATTAAAAAGGTTTAACAAGCTGGATAATATAATAATGTTAATAAGAATATGGGGAAAAGCATACTCCCATCCACTGTTAGTGAGAGAGCACAGATTGAGAAATATTACTCTGTGGAGGGCAATTTAGCAATATCCATTAAAGTTAATCATACACAAAATTTCTCATCCAGAAATTCCACTTTTAGGAATTTATCCAATGGACATGCATTCACAAAGCTGAAAAGATGTATGTGTAAGATGTTGAAGTGTAATTTGTATCGAGAAAAAATAGGCAATCTAAATGTATAACAATAGGAAAGACTATGTGGCTTTTTAAAATAAATAAGATAGATGTTACCAAAAGATACAGAACAAGTCACATTCCTCCATTTGTGTAAAGCAAAGGAATTAGAAAAATAACTACTAAAATATATATGCATATATAAATGTATAGAACTTCTGCAAGGATAAGTAGAAAACTCTTGATAGAGATAATTTTCAGATGTAACTGGCTTAGAATGTGGAGTAGAAAGGAACTCCTTGTTCTATTTGAAGTTTTCCTCTCAGTATGTGTGCTATCTTATTAAGAAAACAAAACAAAACAACACAACAACAACAACAAAAAGCAGGCGCTAGAAGCAGTGGCTCATGCCTATAATGCCAGCACTTTGAGAGGGCCAAGGCAGGATGATTGCTTGAGCCCAGGAGTTCGAGATCAGCCTGGGCAACAGAGCAAGACCCAGTCTCTACCAAAAATAAAAATGAAAGTATTAGCCAGGCATGGTGGCAAGCCACTGAAGTCTTAGCTACTTGGGAGGCTGAGGCAGGAGGATCACCTGAGTCCAGGAGTTCAAGACTGCTGTGTGCTATGATTGCACCACTTGCACTCCAGCCTGTGCAACAGAGTGAGACCCTGTCTCTAAAATAAATAAAAATAGAAATAACAAATTGTTCTTAGTGATACTGATCATTTTAGGAAGTCTTGTGTCCTATGGAAAACAAAGAAAAACCATTTTGCTAGTCTTTTCCAGAAAGGCCATTCTCCAAATAAAACATATCATAAAATATCTCAATGACTCATTTATATCTTTGAGGTTGTAACCAAGTTATTACATTTCACGTTCTACTTGACCAAAGATGCATTTGTTAAGGCCAGAAATAGATGCCAGAGTGCAAGACCAGACATTTTTACCCCAATCCTATTTCCTCTCAGATTTGTATAATAAGCTTACTTTTGATATGAATCTCTGGAGGGAAAATTCTCCAGAAAAAATGCTGGAAGGTGGTTGAGAGTGCTAATGAGGATGAAAAGAAAGAGGTGAATAAAGTCTGCTTTTTAATTGTCTTTATCCGACCCTTTTGCTCTTAGCCTTCTGGGGCTCTCATTTCCAGGACTGAAGTAAAGTTTTGCCATTGGACTGCAAATATTGGGCCATTGTTATTAGGGAGAATTGAAATTAAATTTGTAATGATAATGACAGAAGGGGGAAATGGTGAACTTTTAGGGATACATGTATGCAGTGACATAACCATCTCTTACAGTAAGAGAAACACAAACTCAGAAGAGAGGGAAAATGGGCATTTCAACAAATTCAGTTTCTGGACAACTAAAATGTATTTTAAACCAGTTTTTCTCATAGTCAAGGCCTTTTGCCATTAAAATGTCCTTCCTTCCTTCCTTCCTTCCTTCCTTCCTTCCTTCCTTCCTTCCTTCCTTCCTTC